TGTCAAGCCCCCCCATGCCTCTGCCCCTCTGCCCCCTGCCAGGAGGGGGTTTTGTTTCCCCTCTCCATTAAGCGAACACAGGGGTCTGCTCCGGGCACTGGATCCCAGCAGGCTCCCAAACGAGCCCCCACATTCCCATAGGGACGTGTCTGCGTTACTGGGCACAACTGACGGGACACAACACCGGTAGCAAACAGCCTGCGAGCGGGACGCAACACTGGGTAGGGCACCACGACACGAGAGCGTTGCACCGACAGCCAGAATCGTGCATGGCCATTCTGCAACCCAAGCCAGAGTCACCACCTCCTCGCAAGGGAACCTCGTTTCCCAGGGTTTAATACCAGAGCTCTCCACACTGAAACAGGAACTCACTCTGAGAAGCGGGAATGAAAGCCCCAGGAGGGCGAGCTCCTTCCCTGGCACAGCCTGTCCTGTGCAGCACTGCCCAGCGCTGATGCTCTTTGCCTTGTCCCTACAAGCAGAGACGCGGTTTCTGCTGAAAGAACACATCCACTTCCCAGAGCAAAGTCACCTCAAAACCAGGAGCTAAAATTAGGCTGATTATTCTTTCCTGCTCCCTCTCTCCCCTTTATGGCTTTTACAAGCAATTACCCACTTAACGGTTCCAAATTACACCAGAAACTTCAAAAGCAATCTTTTCCTCCTGCTGCAGCTCCTTGAACGCGAGGCTTTAAAAGCTTTCCCGGAGCACACAGCAGCGTGAGCAAATGAATTTGCCATTCTCATTCTCTTTTTTCCCCCTTAAAAAGCACGGATGGGAAGCAGCGGGGTGCTTGTTCATCACTGAAGACATTCGTTCTGTTCTAATGGCATCACGGTGCAAGGAGCCTGTGTGACAGCCCTGGAAACTGGAGGCAGGATGCTTGCTTGCACCGCGGCCCTTTGTGCTGCTGTGGGAGCTGCTGTTCAAACAGCTGCACGGGCCATCATGCCAACGTGTCTCCCCAGCCTCCGCTTTCTTAGGGCAGGATAGGGCACGTGGGGAGAGACAGCCTGAACACGCCTGCTCACGCGACCATCCCACACGATGCAGAACACACACTGAGAGCTGGGCCATGCGGGGAGATGGGCTCCTGTAGGGTGGCTGCAGGAAGGGGTGGGCCAGGGCCATGAGGCGGTGCCACAGCATGCATGCATCCATCCATCCATCCACGCATCCATCCATGCATCCATCCATGCATCCATCCATGCATCCATCTATCCATGCATCCATCCATGCATCCATCCATCCATGCATCCATCCATGCATCCATCCATGCATCCATCATCCATCCATCATCCATCATCCATCATCCATGCATCCATCCATCCATGCATCCATCCATGCATGCATCCATCCATGATCCATCCATCCATCCATGCACGCATGCATCCATGCATCCATCCATGCATCCATGCATTCACCCATCCATCCATGCATGCATCCATCCATGCATGCATCCATGCATCCATCCATGCATCTATCCATCCATGCATCCATGCATCCATCCATGCATCCATGCACGCATCCATCCATGCATCCATGCACGCATGCATCCATCCATGCATGCATCCATGCATCCATCCACGCATCTATCCATCCATGCATGCATCCATGCATCCATCCACGCATCTATCCATCCATGCATCCATGCATCCATCCATGCATCCATCCATCCATCCATCCACGCATCCATCCATGCATCCATGCATGCATCCATCCATGCATGCATCCATGCACCCATCCATCCATGCATCCATCCATCCATCCATCCATGCATCCATCCATCCATGCATCCATGCATCCATCCATCCACCCATCCATGCATGTATCCATGCATCCATCATCCATCCATCATCCATCCATCCACGCATCCATCCATCCACCCATGCATCCACACATCCATGCATCCATCCATGCATCCATCCATGCATCCATCCATGCATCCATCCACGCATCCATCCATGCATCCATCCACGCATCCATCCACGCATCCATCCATCATCCATGCATCCACTCATCCATCCACCCATCCATGCATCCATCCATCCATCCATCATCCATCCATGCATCCATGCATCCACGCATCCATCCATCATCCATCCATCCATGCATCCATCCATGCATCCATGCATCCATCCATCATCCATGCATCCATCCATGCATCCATGCATCCATGCATGCATCCATCCACCCATCCATCCATCCATGCATCCATCCATCCACCCATCCATCCATGCATCCACGCATCCATCCATGCATCCATGCATCCACCCATGCATCCACGCATCCATCCATGCATCCATGCATCCATCCAGACTGGATCAGGCTGCAGAGCTCCAGGCAATGAGAGAGGCTGCTGGGCTCTGTCTCCTGCTTCTATGAAGCCTGAGGGGTGCAAGGAGAGAGGCAGCTGCCAGGGATTGATGGCCATGAGCCCCCCACTGCCCGAGTGCTGCCAGTGTGCCTCGGTGCAACGGGGATGCGCACGAGGTGCTGGGAAGAGAGGGCAGGCTCCCCTGTGCACACTGAGGCACTCACCTGCGTCGGGGAGGGAAGCCTCAGCTCTCCCCCTTGCTCACGCTGGCAGAGGAGGGTTTCTGGTTGCTCATCCCGCTGTTCCCGCAGATGCCTGCACAGAGCACGGCACCGCAGCGCCACGGGGCCGGCAGCTCTCGTCCCTCAGGAGTGAAGGGCGCTCCCTCTGCCCGCAGCGGTGCCCGGCTGGAGCAGCAGCTCTGCAGCCTGTGAATGGGAAGCACAGGTTATGCACAGCCAAGCCACCGGCTCCGTCAGGGAGATCAATGAAACAACCCAGGCTCTCTGCTCCCTGAGTTCTCTTCCCGCAGGCAAGAGGCAGCATCAGTGCTTTGTGCAGAAGGGTGCTCCTACCTTCACCCCCCAAGCCCAGAACCCCTCCAAACACCCCTGTGGCACACAGTGCCTGTACTTCCACTCACCCCTTGCTATCATCAGTGAAGGCTCTGGAGAACAAAACCCTCTCAACCCCCCACATGACACACTGCACATCCCTACCCTCATTCAGACCCAATCTGCTCTCAAGCCACAGTCCACTGCTGTTTCCTACTCAAGTGTTTAATTCAAGAGTCTCCTTTTTCCTTCCCTTACCATCCGTTACCACCTGAACCTACTCACATCTGCTCTTAGATCAAGGCATCGTCCACCACTGTGAACGCAGCAACAGGGAGGCGCCTTCCCCAGGACCCTCAGGCTTGGGTTCATACACCACCCTTCCCACCCTCCCTTCCACTGGACCTACCTGCAGGATGCCACTTCCCTGCTCACCCGGTGCGAGGGAGCCAGGATGGAGAGAGCCCAGAGCCAGCGGATGGAGCACAGGACACCTCGGTGCAGGTCTTCTGCGCCTGCCTGAACTGGAAACACCGCCAGGTTTCTCCCTAGCACAGGCTCCGGTACAGCCCCTTCCCAGCCTGTTTCTGCAGCTCCAGGAGGAGAGGGGCTCAGCAAATAAAGGTCTGTCTGCAGCAGGCTGGTGGGAGGGAAAGGGCTGGGGGGTTCCTCTGGGTCTCACCCAGCAGTTCTGGGCTCAGAGAGAACACGAGGAGGGAGGGAAAGCATCCTGCAAGGAGCAAACCTCCCCAGTACCAACCTGCTGCAGCCAGAAGTGCTCCCAGCAAAGGAAACAGAGGCAGGCACTTACTCCAGCAAGCACGGTGAAGGCAGCAGCCTTAAACCGGCCATGAGCACATCGGGGTGCTGTGATTCCAGGCTTCACAAAGGGCCCTTCCCACAGGAAGGCTCATGCACCCATGGCAATGGGGAGCTCCGGATGCACCCCATCCTCATCACCACAAACAGATGAGGAAGCGAATCAAACCCGATGCAGATAAGAGAGGTTCCACCTTTCCCCCTCCTCTTTGCACCAAACACTTCCAGGAACCACAGAGAATAAAAGGGAACATCAGAAGAAAAACAGAGTTCCGAGAATCATCACAACTCAGAGTTTTATTCAACAGTGACGTTGAAGGGAAATACTATTTCTCTTTCCCATGAGGGCAAACGTTCCCAATGGAAATCAAGTAAAACCATCGTCCTCCGGAAGCACTCTCAATGGGATTGGGTTTCATTAAATAGGAGCTTGGTTTGGCAAAAGAAAATAAAGGAATTAGAACCCGTACAAAACCAAAACAACCCCTGGCAAGTTTCTAACACTGCAGCAATGAGAACGATGTAAACCCGGGTGCCTGGTGCTTGTCATTCCCCTGGGGAAAGCACTGCTGAACCCTGGACCCAGGAAACAGCGACCGCCTCGAAGAGCAACAGGCCGGTTGGAGAGGCAACCGAGGCTTGGGGAACGCCAGAGGGATGGGGCACACTGGTGGCTTCCTGACACGGTCGGTGTGGACGACCTGCTAGTGTGGGGCTGTTCAAGAGCTGGGAGGAAAAGAAGTGAAAAGCAGCACTGCAGCCTATGGAACAGCAAGCACCTGCAGACCTTTCCGCTCGGGATGGTGATGGCCGGTGGCAACAGCGGCAGGGCAATGAGGGATGCAAGCGTGGGGAAGCAGTTAACCAAATTCACCACCGCGTTGGACTCGGTTGTGAGGAGACTCTTGGGGAGTGCCTGGGGAAATGCTCTGCTCCTGCTCCCTACCTCCCTCCTGGCTCCAGTTAAAGCCTCAGCCCTGCCCCGCGGGTGTCACAGGCACGCAGCTGGGAAACGGCGTCCCTCAGGGGAAGAACCTCGATTCCAGTATTAAAAACGTAAAAAAAGTCCTGGGGAGGGTGCTTCTTTAGTGGCAAATCCTTGCCTTGAGCAAGGCCGATGGCCTGCAATTATCAGTTAATTAAAGCAACGTGGATTTGGAGAAGCAATGGGGAAGATGGGAATGGGGATGGAAGGGATGCAGGGAGCAGGGAGGGATGCAAGTGTTCCTACACCCCTCCCCAAAGCCGAAATCCAAGGTGCACAAGTGGGTTTCTTGGTCTTTCCTCACGCTCTTCTTCTTTACTTCTCAGTATCTCCCCAGTTACAACATGTCCAGTTTCGGAGCCAGTCTCAGGGGCAGCCTCAGTTACAGTCATAAACAAAGTCGTAGTTGCTGGGCTCCTTTGGGATCGGCGGGGGAGCATCTGGGATCTGTATGTTCTCCAGGTCCAGGAGGCGCAGCTTGATCTCCATGCTGAGCAGCGTGTCCAGGTCGTTCCGCGTCAGGTCACTCAACATGTCCTTCCCCAGGAGGGCGTTCAGCCCGTCGGTCCATACACAGTACTGCACGGGAAAAGGGAAGAACCACCATTAACAGACATTGTGTGTGCACAACCCGCTTGCCTGGCCCGCTCCAGTTACTGCTCACACTGGGACTTACCAAGGGACCTAAAGAGAGCTTGGTTTATTTTACTAGCTGGCAGCACAAGGGGGCACGTTCCACTGAGCTGCTCAGAAAACGAGGAAGCAATTCCACTAAATGGGAAGCAATGACAGCACTTGGCTGCTTGAGGATTTGCCATCTCCTCCAAAGTTCCTGTTGAATACTCTTCAGTAGTTATGGGAGAAGGAAGTGAACCTCTGGAGAGCTCTCCTTCTCCCCCTCTCTTTTCCCTTCTCTTTCCCCAGTACTTACAGAAGCCACCTAATTACCTTGCACTCATCTAATCCCATGACAGCCAAGTGAAGTGAACTGAATCCCACACAAAATCCTCAACTCTGCTTAAGAAATCCTATACCAGCTACCTAGACTTATTGTGGTTTGCTTTCCTATAGATTAAATGGCATCAACCAACCTACACAAAGCTGGGCTCTCATGTATATATGCCTTCTTTACCCTTATTTTACACAAAATAGCCTACTGTGAAACCCACAATGCTGCGTCCTTCGTGACAATTAAATGCCGAGCTACCCGGTGTAAGTGTACACGCTGCAATGTTGAACTGGGCTCTAAACCCTCCACCTTACTGTCAGCCTTTTCCTAACAGGAGATGCCATCTTCCCCAGCAGCTGTGATAAACACGGGCTGAACAACCACTTAGAATCAGCAGCAAACCCGGGGGGGCTGGTTGGTGATGTAGAGTCAATGTCTACCAAGTAAGTCACTTCCATTTATGACTACAAGCCATTTATTCAAGTACTGAACTGCTATGGTCTAAAAATAAAGATCTCAATCCTGAACTCGTGTCCCAGTTTGCAGGAGGAAATTAAATCAGCGGTAACTGCATTTTTATCTTACAAACACTTGTGCTGGGTTTCACGCCAAGAAATGGATGTCAGGTTTAGCTGACCGTTTGCTACACGACACCACCGTGTCTAAAGATAGCCGCGGCTGGCTTCATCCTACGGCAGAAACGAGGATTAGCTTTAAGGAAGAGAAAGAAAACCCCTCTTGGGTAAGCCTTCATCCAGAAAAAGGGCACATCTTTGCATTGGGATGGTTAACACACTCCAGCATCCAAAGTGACAAGCTGACCCATTTAAGTCAGTAAGGGAACAGTAACAGAGCTAGGGTTTCACCCGGGGTGCTGCTAAGCCAAGCTGCAGTTTTAATATGAGATAAGCTCTATAGAAGAGCTTCAGGGTTCAGGCTGCCCTGCTAACAAGTACCACAGAAACAACCGAGCCTGACTACTGCAGGCTGTCAATGTGTGTCTCTGAAGCCTTCCAAAGCATGCAGTTTTAGTGGAGCACACACAGAATACCAGGAACAGAAAGACCCTAGCCTAGAACTGTAATTATTGTTGAACAGGCTGTATCTGTTTCATGACAGACTTAAAACCTTTCCTTGGGAAAGTCTTCCCAGAATTCACTATGAGGAAAAGGAACAGAAAGGCAGAAGGCTCTGCTCAGGTTACAGGAGAGCAGAGCATCCATGCAACAGATGCAGCCCCTGACGCACATCATCCATTACCCGCTCAGTGAGCTCGGCCAGGAAGCAGAACCGCACTCCTCTCCTCCCACACACAACCCATCCAGGGCCCACAGAAACCAAACTCTGGACACAATTCGGATGAGTGCCTGGAAAAGGGGCTTCCTCTCCAATCTCCGTATTGGCAAGTGCAGTTAATTACACTCCTGTACGTTTCGAGCACAGAGAAACCCTAATGAGAATGTGGAGGCATCCATTCAGAAGCTTCCTCCTTTTCACTACGCCAAACGGATGAAGAGTCACTGCAAAATTAATTTACTACAGACTCATTTTCATCAGCCTCCAAAGGAATCTGATTATGGCCTCTCTCATCAGTTCCTCTGTCAAGAATCAAGGATAAGATGAATCCACCTTTTTGCTGTGCAGCTGAAACCAGCTATTAGTACTGAAATGAAAACCAAATCTGATGGCGTGATCTCACAGTGCTGGAGCCTCTGGCTAGCACTGAGCCTGAACAGATGGCTGAAGCTATTGCCAAACTCAAGTGTGCAAGGATGAGGTCCAAACCTCAACGATACTGGTTCCAGTAATGAGATTTTATCAAAGACATGCCTTGGGAGTCAACTCAGTGGAAGGAGGCACCCAGGGAGGTTGTGCAGGCTTCACCCATCCCAATGCAGCCCCAAGCAACCTGCTCTGAGCTCACTGCTGTCCTGTTCTGAGCAGGAGGTCAGGCCTGGGACACCCCAAGGCCCCTTGCAACCTGAATCCTATGATCCCAGGTCAATCCTTGTTTTCAGGACACACTCAACTCCTCCATTCCAACCCCACTCTACAATCACCAGGACTGCAGAAGTGCTTAACCCCCCCCGGGAAGTCTGACTTCCAACTGCCATATCCTAACAGCATCCCTGGTGATCCACACAAACCTTTCCAACTCTTGGGATGTCACCTGTAAAATCTCCCAAGCTGGGCATGCTGCTAAACTAGCTCTCCTATGGACGGGCACCCCCGTTACTCTGATGAAGACAACATGCTACTTGCATGTTAGATAACATTGATGAAGATAACGTTGATGAAGATAACGTTGATGAAGATAACATTGCTACTTCCCTTTCCTTATGGGGGCTTGCTCTGAACACCTGTACATCTACTTTAACCCCACCTGACTCTTCTGCAGGCCATGGAATGCTACAGAGGAAGTGAGATGCCCTTGGAAGAGCATTCACTTGGGAGCTGTCAAACAGCAGCAGAGGCGGCTGCCCCTGCCTGCCTGGGGGGGTTTGAATGCATTCCTTTGGTCTCAAATAGGCTGTACAAGATCAAAAGAGAACTGAGAGGTGTGTTAACACAGCCGAGAGCAATGGGGTTAGTGCACCTCACCCTGCTACTGCCTGTCCGTGGGGGGCAGGAGCAGTTTCTGAACATTTAGGCCATTAAAATACACACAAATAGGCTATCTTTGAGATACAAGTGGCTGGAAAAGGTGTTAATTCTCATGACCAATTGCACTTCTGAGCTGAAACAGTCTGGAATGCAGCTGCTGGAGAATCTATATTGGAAAGCATCTCACATATGTTCAGTTCAGAGGACGAAGACAACCATGCTTTGCTTAGACCTTCAGCTCTAATGCCCCATTATCCCTGGAATCCTGTGCTAGTTCCTCTTACACAAACACTGACCAGCAAATACTGCTCTGGAATGAACACACTTGGAAATGACACTCAAGCATGAATCCCCAGGAAATCTTACATGAGCAGAGCCTTATTCCTCTCCCAAAATCAACACTGATCTGAAGGTTTTAATCCAGACTTGCAAATACTGAGGCTGAGTATCTAAATACGCTTCATGCTCTCTAACAGCACTACAGTATAAGACAGTTTAATGCGATCTTCTCTGGTTTAACACAAGGTCCTGAACTGACACCAGATGTGATGCTACAAAATAAGCATGCAAAACCAAACACCAACTCTTGCTGCTTTAGAAATAAGAAGGAAAAACTTATATATATATATATATATATATTTAATATAGTGCATTCTGCTAAATCTTTACTTGGAAACTCTTTGAGAGAGACACATCCAGTGCTTCCACATAACCAGGTAAATCAGTTCCACCACTTCCCAACAAGCAGAGATGCCCGTTTCCTCGTGTTCTCAAGGAAGAGAAGGGAGCAGTGAAGGGGCTGTCATTCTGCCTTGCTTTTGCAACGCTCCCCTGAGGCGATGCAATAGACAGGACATCCTATGATCACCTCTCATGAATCACCTTAAGCAATGTTAAGCTAAGAATTCGGGGCTATGCCATTCTGCAGGTCACAAGACTTTGAAACCTAGACCCCGCAATGACTTGGTCCTGCTGGCACCAGCAAGATGAGCTGAGGATGGCAGGCATCCTTTAGGAGCTTGCAAGCCATCAGCATTGAGCTAAAGTCCGCTGAAACGAACACACAGCAAGACTCTCCAGTGCCTAAAGTAGAGCAGAGCAAGACATATCTTTACTACAGCAGGAAAAGGTGAGCAAGGCCTGAGGAGCTGCAGGTTTGCCCAAGCTCTCTTCTTTCTCTTCTTTACAGCTCATATTTCAGCAGGGCTTAGAAGCACTGATCTTACATTGAGACCCCATGGGCTCTGTGATGCACCAACACACAACACATTCCTTCCACGGCTCACGAGACTGCACGCAAACTGCAGAAGGTCCTGCTCCCCTTCTAATCCCTCTGCTGGAGACATGGCTCAGATTTGGGCTGACCCACACCATGTGCCAAGGCAACTGCCCTGAAGTCCTCATGAAGCTGTCTGCTGGGCTTCAAAAGCAGAGTCTGTATTCTGAGCTTGACTTACCTCGTGCTTGTCTGGAGCGATGAAGTTCAGCTGCCCACTCGAGTCATACAATATAGAGAAAGCAAGCTCTAGCACCTCCTGGAACAACACAAATGGATGGGCATTAGTGCAGCATGAGAGGGGCACCCATACATTCAGCTCTGCCTTTCCTTCCTATCACTACCTATCACTCCCCAAACCAAGTGGAAAACCAGGTTCTCTGCTCTCCTGCCTGGCCAAAGCTAGACCAGACGATGGCAACAGACGGGCACAGCAAGAGCTCCACCACAGATGCTCCGGTCAGAACAGAATCACACCCTGCAGCTCACTCAGCCATGGATTTGAGATCGAATCTGAGCTAGGCAACGGTGAGGACCACAGTCAATACAGGGCACAACAGTCCGTGTGCTACAAGCTCTTTGCAAAGACCCATAGCTGCTTTCAATTTGTACAGATTCAACTCCCAAAGCTCTGCCAGGTTCGATTCCCTGCGTCAAAAGCCTTGCCAGGGCAGTCAGTCTCCTGGGGCAGCTTCACTCGCTGCTGAAAATGCATGGAATTACTAATTCCCAAGGGATTTCTGTCATTTTATTCCTCCCTGAACTAGAATCAGCATCCTCAGTCAAACTGAACTGAGTTACTCAGAGAACCAAATGAACCTCGGGAAAGGGAAAGGATCATCTCTTCCCCCCCAGCACTGAAGCTCAGAGGTGCCAAAGGGAATCCATCAAGTCCCTAAAAGCCACCTGGGCTCCCATGGGGAAACCCAGCAGTTCTGGAATGGAAGACCCGCCCGTGGGGACTGCAGCATATCCATCTCGCTACATTTCTACCCCTTATCTCCTGCTCCGCAGCAGCCACAGCTCTGTGCATTTCAGTACGGGTTGTTTCATTCCTGAGCTGTGTAATGAAGAGCAGAGCCTGACTCCCTGGGGCTAACCCTGGCTGATCAGAGACCAGGCTTCCCATGGGAGATGCTCTTGTTTCCTCCCGTTATCAGGTCCAACTCACCGTACTGGCAGGCCACAGGATGAAGGTCTGGGTTAAACCCCACGGAAGCTGCAGACACCAATAGTGCTGATGCACTCTGCAAGCAAACGGCTCTCGGCTCACACAGCCCAAGTGTCTGAGCCCCGTCTCCCAGCCACACCTTATTAACAGTGATGTCCCTCCTTCCAGGAACAGATCCACCTCTGCCCACCCAACCCTGGCGTTACCTGCGTGCAGGGTGTCAGGAACCCCTGACAGACAGAACAAGCCAAGCCATGCAGCTGAGGCTGTGGAAGCAGAACCCATCACTGATAAAAGGGCTCGTGCTGGGTGCTCTGCTCTGATGCTCCTGGAATTCAAGGAGGTCACCAGCACCCCCCAGGCCTGGCCCCTGCCCTCTGGGCAATCCCAAGGATTTGAATGTTTTGTTCATCTCAGAGAAAGGAAAAGGGGAGAGAAACCCTGCCTGAAAGAGCGGCCCAGGGAGCCACGGGTCTGGGCACTGCCAGTCAGGCAGCGGATGGGAAAGGGCTGCATTTAGGGCACTAAATGGGGCAAAGTGGGAGCTTGGCAGCCCTGGGTCCGGTTCAGTTCTTTGCTGGCTGCTCTGGAGATTAAAGGCTCAGGAGATAACAGCTTCCAGGTGCAGCATCTCTGCCACCTCCTGCACAGCAAGCTGTCAAGGAGAATGGAAGCCAAAGGAGCTGCAGTTGCCAACGGTCCCTCCGCACTGACGGTGGTCTTGGTGGTTGACTTGTCAGACACCTCAACTGGCCTTCATGTTCCCATCAATGCCAGGGAACCCTGGGGCACTGCAGTTCCTGAAGGAAAACCGGTCAGTCTCCATCTGTGGCTCTCTCCTCCCTCTCCTCTCCCACCTCCCAAAGGGATTTTCCACCCGTTTCTTCTCCTCTCTGGTCCTTTCCCCCTCCCACTCCTTCCACCCTGCTCCTTCCCTCTTTCCTTTGCTCTCCCCCTTCCCACCCCAACCTGCTGAGCTCACCCCTCAATGCCCTGAGCTCTTTCCCCCCTCACACACATCAGACCCCTGCCCTTCCCCAGCTGCTGTCCAAGGCAGCAGCACTGGGACCCACGACCTGCCCCTCTCTTGGGATCCACTGGAAACAGGAAACTGGAGCCTCTGCACGTGCTGGATGGGCAATTCCCACTCCTTGGCCTCAACACTGTGGGAAAGCAGCTCTAAGTGCTGTGAAGCAAAGCTTGCTTTCCCACGCCTGGGGCTTCTCTCTTCCCCAGTCTCCAGTGGGCCAGAGAGAAGCTGCTGTTGATGAACAGGCAGTTCAGGTCCCTGTGGCTGGGTGATCCCATGAAGCTGGAATGATCTCACTGCTCTCTGCCTGCCCTGTCACCAGCAGCCTCTAAAGGCCTGTGCTGTGCCTGCTGAAGGCTGAGCCCATAACCATGCTAAGTTCGCTTGCCAGAGCCAGAAGATCCTCCCCAGAGAACCCCAGCCTGGTTTGGGTTGAAGGGACCTTAAAGCCCCTCCAGCTCCAATCCCTGCTATGGGCAGGGACCCCTTCCACGGGCAGGGACCCCTTCCACTGGAGCAGCTTGCTCCAAGCCCCTGTGTCCAACCTGGCCTTGAGCACTGCCAGGGATGGGGCAGCCACAGCTTCTCTGGGCACCCTGTGCCAGCGCCTCAGCACCCTCGTAATGAAGATTTTCTTGCTTACATCTAATTAGGATTATCCATAAAAGGATAAGGCAAGGAACTTGTTCAACCAATGTGAAATAAAAGAGAAGAGAAGCTGCATTCCACACGGAAGGGAGCAGAACCATTTCTGCTGAGCAGAATGGCACCAAGCCTGAAGTGCCGCATCAGCAAATAACAGATGATAGGAGAACACTTAGAAATCCATGGCAGTGTTTTCTCCAAGTCCTTCTCTCATGCTCTGTTTCGAGGGCTGCAGAATCTACTGCATTTTGTGTCCTTGAAATCTATTAATATTACTCAAGAGTCAGAAAGAAGGACTTTAAAATGAAATCTGACTGAAAAATGCAAGCAAATGAACAACAGTGGGTTCAGGACTGGTCCTGTCGAGTCGTTCAGCTTCAGGTGCATGCAAATTCCAATGCAGCTTAACTCTTATTTATGTCTAAGTGGTCCCACAGGAAGGATAACGGCCACGTGCTGGCAGATGAAGAGATGCTGAGGCCTTTGTTAGGGACACGCTGCCCATTCCAGCTGTGCTCGGAGCAGCGGCATTGTGCCACGCTTCCTTGGCTGCCAATGCATAAACATGAAGGTGCTCATTGTACGTGCGCCAAGGAAGCACAGGGGGAAAAGGCCTCTCAAGGAATACAGCACTGATAATGAAAGCTCAGGAAGTGAAGGGTTTCATGCAGCAAACTCAGGCCAACTGCATTCTGTGTCTGCCGCCTTTGGGTTCCATTGCGCACTCCACGTTAACTGGATGCTCTGCAAACCATGACCTGTTCTTGCTGTGATGTCAGTTAAGCAACTGCAGTAATGAGCATGATGGCTTGACTGGGATGACAGCTGATGTCAGGGGTTCTGGGATTCCCAGGGGAAGAGACAGGGAATCACACCAGAAATGGCAAACCCATCACAGCTACGACTGCCTGCTCACAGATGGAATGCTCCAGCCATGGTACCTATCAGCTCCTCATCTTCACATCCTCAGCCACAAGCTTTATGTGAGTCCCACCGATTCCACCTGAGGAAAAGGGGCAATGGGGACAGCAGAGCACAAAGGGATCCGCAGCACTGCTATTTAGCATTAAACACTACCTAGACATTCCTGCTCCATAAAGATGACACATTTCCATCACTGGAACTGGAAATGACACATTTCCATCACTGCCACCCACTGCTTTCCATCTTCCTATCATTCCTTTTTGTGTGGACACATGAGTGCTGAGACAAGGAAACACTGGAACTATTTTATATGCATCACATAAATGCCCCAGCCAAATGCTGCTGCTGGTACATGTGGTAGGGGTTGTATGCCATCTATTGTGTGTGTTAGCACCCTGATTCAGAAAACCAGCGTGGAACAATACCCTTGGCATTATTCCTACTTGCGTGGCTTGACTTCTTCCTTTCCAGCCATGTAAAGCCAATGCTGAAAGGAGATGACAGTATCCTGAGAGGCTTAAAGCAACCCAAGATGCTCTGCATATCTATGTGTTGGAGCAGGAGCTCTTCATTCTGTTCATCAAAATCTCTTTCTTGTTGGGCCCAAAACGGCTCAGTCTCAGGGAATTAGAGATTCTTATTCCAACCCTCTGAGCTGGTTCCCCCACCTCAGGGCGTGCTTCTGGGTCAGAGTGAGCAGCATTAGAGCCTCACTCCCTCTCGTACGGTCAAACAGCATGGCCTGATAGAACACTCATGAACACACCTCATACAGCACGGTATGAAGACCTTAACCATTCAAGATGTCACACTTAGCTCAGGACTGATTTCGCCTCGCTGTGGTGGCAATTCCTACCAACAGAAACTCTGCTAGGTTGTGGTGCTGTACAACCGGAGTCCTACTGTCAGCTCACAGCTCTCCATCTCAAACCCAAAGGTAGCGCAAATCCAATTCAAGCTGACCATTGTCTCCTACATGTTCTCTCCCAAATGCACTCTGAAGCAACCCTTGTTTCACCTCATTAGATGCCCAGCGTTTGCTGGCAGTTACATTTCTACCTGCCTGGACCTGAAGATGCCATCAGCTGGACATTAACAGCAATTCCAGCATGTGCCAGTGCTCCCTGAACGTCAGCCCACCAGAGAATACAGGTGGAATAAACTGGTTGTTTATCAGAGACAGTACGGGAGTAGGCACCTACAGTCACTGCTGGTGTGCTCTGGAACAGCAGTCAGAGCTGCTTTGCCTTACAGGTGGAAGGCATCACTACCCAAGACTATCTCTGGGGCCATCACGATGCGCATCTGCCATGAAACCTGAGTGAAGGAGGGCAGCCTGTCCCAGTACCTTATCTCACACATAAAGGAGGGTAGCCTGTCCCAGTACCTTATCTCACACATAAAGGAGGGTAGCCTGTCCCAGTACCTTATCTCAGACATAAAGGAGGGTAGCCTGTCCCAGTACCTTATCTCAGACATAAAGGAGGGTAGCCTGTCCCAGTACCTTATCTCAGACATAAAGGAGGGTAGCCTGTCCCAGTACCTTATCTCAGACATAAAGGAGGGTAGCCTGTCCCAGTACCTTATCTCACACATAAAGGAGGGTAGCCTGTCCCAGTACCTTATCTCAGACATAAAGGAGGGTAGCCTGTCCCAGTACCTTATCTCAGACATAAAGGAGGGTAGCCTGTCCCAGTACCTTATCTCAGACATAAAGGAGGGTAGCCTGTCCCAGTACCTTATCTCAGACATAAAGGAGGGTAGCCTGTCCCAGTACCTTATCTCAGACATAAAGGAGGAAAATGCCTGTCCCAGTACCTTATCTCAGACATAAAGGAGGGTAGCCTGTCCCAGTACCTTATCTCAGACATAAAGGAAAATCCCCTGCTGCTTCCATCCTACCAACATAAAGGAGGGTAGCTGTCCAGTACCTTATCTCAGACGTGAAGGAGTCCTTCCAGTACCTTATCTCAACATAAAGGAGGGTAGCCTGCCAGTACCTTATCTCACACATAAAGGAGGGTAGCCTGTCCGTTTTTGGGGTTGTGTTTTTGGTGGGGGTGTTCAGTACCTTATCTCAGACATAAAGGAGGGTAGCCTGTCCCAGTACCTTATCTCAGACATAAAGGAGGGTAGCCTGTCCCAGTACCTTATCTCAGACATAAAGGAGGGTAGCCTGTCCCAGTACCTTATCTCACACATAAAGGAGGGTAGCCTGTCCCAGTACCTTATCTCAGACATAAAGGAGGGTAGCCTGTCCCAGTACCTTATCTCAACATAAAGGAGGGTAGCCTGTCCCATTCCTTATCTCAGACATAAAGGAGGGTAGCCTGTCCCAGTACCTTATCTCACACATAAAGGAGGGTGTCCCAGTACCTTATCTCAGACATAAAGGAGTCCTGTCCCAGTACCTTATCTCAACATAAAGGAGGGTAGCCTGTCCCAGTACCTTATCTCAGACATAAAGGAGGGTAGCCTGTCCCAGTACCTTATCTCAGACATAAAGGAGGGTAGGCTGTCCCAGTACCTTATCTCAGACATAAAGGAGGGTAGCCTGTCCCAGTACCTTATCTCAGACATAAAGGAGGGTAGCCTGTCCCAGTTTTTGGTTGTTGGTGGTTTGTTTTGTGTGGGGTTTGTACCTTATCTCAGACATAAAGGAGGGTAGCCTGTCCCAGTACCTTATCTCAGACATAAAGGAGGGTAGCCTGTCCCAGTACCTTATCTCACACATAAAGGAGGGTAGCCTGTCCCAGTACCTTATCTCACACATAAAGGAGGGTAGCCTGTCCCAGTACCTTATCTCAGACATAAAGGAGGGTAGTGTGTTTTTGTGGGGGTGTGTGTTTTTTGGGGGTGCTGTCCCAGTACCTTATCTCAGACATAAAGGAGGGTAGCCTGTCCCAGTACCTTATCTCAGACATAAAGGAGGGTAGCCTGTCCCAGTACCTTATCTCAGCATAAAGGAGGGTAGCCTGTCCCAGTACCTTATCTCAGACATAAGGGGGAGGGTAGCCTGTCCCAGTACCTTATCTCAGACATAAAGGAGGGTAGCCTGTCCCAGTACCTTATCTCAGACATAAAGGAGGGTAGCCTGTCCCAGTACCTTATCTCAGACATAAAGGAGGGTAGGCTGTCCCAGTACCTTATCTCAGACATAAAGGAGGGTAGTGTGTTTTTGTGGGGTGTGTGTTTTTGGAGGGTAGCTGTCCCAACCTTATCTCAGACATAAAGGAGGGTAGCCTGTCCCAGTACCTTATCTCAGACATAAAGGAGGGTAGCCTGTCCCAGTACCTTATCTCAGACATAAAGGAGGGTAGGCTGTCCCAGTACCTTATCTCACACATAAAGGAGGGTAGCCTGTCCCAGTACCTTATCTCAGACATAAAGGAGGGTAGCCTGTCCCAGTACCTTATCTCAGACAGCCTGAGGTGAAAGCCAAGTGTGTGCATACATGGCAAGGTGGCAGGCTGGAGTGAAAGATACCCGGTATCACTTCAGGGCAGGTCCAGTTGAGCCTTCCATCCTGCAGGCTGAGTGCTCATAGCAATCGGAGAGCCATACCTTGTTTTGTTTGAGAGCTCCTTTCTCCTTCATGTGAGGGCAGTCCTTCCCGGTCACAACAGCTTTTATATCTGCCACTGGCACTGCGTTAAACGAGAACAAAAGCAAAAAGCAGGACACCAGTTATAACCAGGGCGTGGGGAAGCCACAGGGTCTAAAAAGCGCAAGAGTAAAGGGTTAAAATTGCCATTTCCAGGCTGCTGCAAGAAAGAAAACGATTAAAATAGGAATCTGTGAGTCCTGAGGAAACTTCAGGCACCTGGATAAGAACCTGAGTATGCTCTTCCTTGCCTGCTGGGACCACTTTGGGTAAGAGTGTTTCCTATAGCTCTGTACCTGTGTCAGCTCCTCTGTGCAGTCAGGTAGCCAGAAAACACGGACTCTTCTCTGCCTTACTAATGATGCCTGCCCTATTCTTGCTCTGCCCTATGCACCCAGGTAGAGTCTCTGCTGAAGAGCGTGCTGGGCAAGCTGGACCCTGCCTCACTGGATGCTGTTCTGTCTGAATGGAAGCTGCTGCCCCTCAGGCTCACTCAGAGCGAGGTCACTGAAACATGAAGATAAACGCCTCCCAGTTCCAAGTGGAAGTCCATTTTCCAATGGCAATTCCATTATGGAGAATCTGTGTGCTCCACAATACAAGCTGGTCAGGGAGTGACAGCTTCTATGATCTATACATAATCCATTATCCTTGGGGCTGTGGAAAAGCATTGCATATATATAGAGAGAACAGCATAATGTATGAAGATCTGTTGCTGCCCAGCTCTTGACAAGCTCTAATAGAAATACTGAAGAGGAGAAATGCATTTTCTCTCCTACTGGGTACAGCAATCCTATGTATTTTATGCCAGATTACCTCAGCACTAGAGTCAAGTGGAGAGCACGGGACATAATAGACCTTTGTAGAGGACTTTCTATGCATAGAAAGCTGAAATGGCAGTTATTATGGTTTTGACACTGCCCTGCCTTTAGGAAAGATACTGGTTTTGTGAGGAGAGGGCGAGCTAGGACAAGCCGGGAAGCAAAGGAGAGGCTTGACTGCAGCTATGGGAGAAGACAGAACTCCTGCCATTTGCTGCACATGCCCAAACGATTGCTCTGCATAAGGCAGGGGTTTCTCAAGCTGGAGCTCTCAAGCAAGAAGGCTTTCCCCAGGTTTCATAGGCTGGATCCCTGCGCTCTGGGATGCAGCTCCTAGTGGAGATCACAGACTGATGCGATATCCTGACCTTAATCAGGACCTCGGCTTACTCCTTGCTTAGGGGAAACACAGTCAAAGGCTTCAGGTGGTATCGGAAGCTGACTACAGGATGCTGGAAGGGGTGAGCACGGATGTGATGTGCTCACAATGAATAAAGCCCTGGGAAGGAGGGCAACTGCTTTCTGCCCCAGCTGGAGCCTGCAGAGCTTGTTAACCCTGACAGCCTGGAGACGGGCTGACCGTCACAGCACTGAAGGGGTTAAACCCCACATGCATTTCTGGGGGCCCACACCCGTTATTGAAGCTTGGTAAGAACCACACAGAATGCCCTGCGCTGCTTCTCCAGGCCCTCTGTTTTCTTACCCACCTATTCCCTTTCCCCTGCTGACCTGCTCCCGAACGCTGGCAATGTGGTCACCATACTCAGACCTCAACAGCTCCAAATTCAATATAAATCTGTCCAAAGCACACCGGCACATCTCTGGAAAATGGTCTGTAAAATTCCCCAGCCAGCCTGGCCTGACACACTTCAAACAATGATCACCCTGTACCTTGAAACAGCCTTAATTCTGCTTAATTAAACTCTAACGTGGCTGGCACCATGGCAAATCGAGCATCCCTCGTGGCCTGAGAACCTGAGATACTGATGAAATAACCCCATCATTCTCACCCTGCATCACTATCTGCTCTGCCTGCTGCATGCACAGGGAACATACGGGTCTGGCTCAGGGGTTTCTAACGTAGGAATCCCTCTGTCCCCATGGGATCCTGACATTCCTGAGGAGGCTCAAGAGCTTATGGACAATGCAGATGCAAGAGGAAGCCTGAAGTGAGGGTCAGGGGCTGGAGCACGCTCAATGCAAATGAATGTGGGACCTGCTGGCCTCAGAGCTGCGCCTGCAGCTCAAGGGTGACCTTCCCTCTTCCGTCCTTCGGATGCTGCTGTAACACCCATGGCTATTTCTCTAAGCCTCCCGCAGGCAAACAGCCTCTTCCAGTGCCAATGCAGCAAAGTGAGCCCTGCCCTACATCCTGCCAAGACTGCAGCAAGCGCGTGAAGCAGCCTTGAGGCAATCTGTAAGGCAATGGGAACAGGGGAACGTGACTGCCAGCTGCCAGGGCTCCAGCAGCACACAGGCTCTCCTGCCTCTTGCCACTTAGAATATGCTGCCTGGGGGAGCAGGCACTCTCTGTTAGCATAGAGGGGAGTTTAAAGCACTGATACTCTCCTTCCTTCATTTCAGGCTGGAAAACTTCCCCACTTCTGGAAAGCCAGTCCTCCTGCCACCCCAAGGCAGAAGCGGATGTACCAGCTGGAATACTTGTACAAGCACATCTAGTTTGGCAATGCCAAGAACGGCATTTATTACTTATGGAGACTCAAAAAAGAACAAAAAGCAATGCTTCCTTAGTCAAGGCTTGGTTTCCTGAAGTCACCTTCTGGTGACAGAACTGCACTCATCATGAAAAGAGCTTTCCCAGGATGGCAGGTTAGAGCTCTGTAACTTACTCTGATGGACGAAGAGGAATTACCATGAGAGTATGACCCATCTCAAGGGCTCCAAAATCAGTTTTATCCCCTAAAATCCCCTGCTAAATCCCCTGCTAGGAGCTGTCAGAGGCAGGCCTGCACCCAGCTGGGTGCACAGTAACGGGGAGGTCCTCTCAACACTGTTCACAGCACAGTGCCGTCTTTAGGTCCACTCCCCATGGTATCCAAGAAGACCTCTGCCTGCCAAGGGTTTCTCCTCCAGTCACTGGGACTCTGCCACAGAGGAAACATCCGTCTCTGCAGGCAGAACTGCTTCTGGATATGCCCACGTGTTTGAGTTTGACACCTGCAGTCCGATGAGCAATGGAAATGAACCGTGTTCCTCCCTGTGAAAGGCATGGCATTTCCAGGCTGAACGGAAGCATGAACTCATTGGGAAGCTGAGCTCAGTCCTCACACAGCCCTGCCAAAACTAGGAGAGAAGGGTTTGAATGCGGGAGGAAATGCCCCCTGCTCTCCATCTCTGCACACAGAGCCGCTGGTGGTGTCCCCTGTTAACAGGATACATGAGGAACCAGCACAAAAGAAGCGAAAGGAGCACAAATGCTGTGTGACTTACATTTATCTTGCAAGGAATCGTGGGGCACTTCTCCCTGGGGGCTTTCTTCCAAGTCTCCATAGTGCAACACCTTGTGATTAGGTGAGAGGCGACAATACCAGAACTTGTCTGTTAAAACAAAGGCATTAAAGCAGGTCACTGACACGTCCTCACCAGCACTGGCAACAGCATGGGAGAAGGCGTACACAGGTGAGGCACTGCAGGGAAGGACTGCATATTCAGGGTGCAGAGAGGTAGGACAGGGACTCTGCTCACTAATGTCACTTGATTAACTGAAGCTGGCATTAATCTGCTGTGTTTTGTGGTGACTTAGTCATCAGCTCCTAAAATGAATACTAGCAAGGTACAGTGGACTTAGTTTGACATGATATTCTATCCCCTTGTAGACAGTAAGACTGGCTAAGTAACCACTGCTTTGAGTGGGTAACTCCGATGTACCCAAACCCCCTTCATATTCAGTCCCCACTATGTGAGAATTAAGCCCTGCCAGATGTCTTGTGTGGGACACCACAAACCCGACACATTTGAGATACCCCATATTCTATGACAACGATGACTCATGTCTTTTAATAGACACGGGAGAACACCCCCATATTTATGGAGGGATTGGACACAACAAACACACAAAGACTCAAGAAGCAGACCTTACCTTGCTTGTGTTGCAGATACCCTGGTGCTTGGCATGGTCACAAATATACGCTCCAGTGTGTGTTTTAGTCCCTCACAGGAGATGCACATTTACACCTCCTGCCAACCCCTGCTTTGCAGGATGTAATTCCCCTTAATTCCAACCCCTGCTTTGCAGGATGCAATTCCCCTTAACAACAGCCATTAAAACCTGCACCCGTGGAGCACATCCCCTCTGCAGAGCCAGACCATCACACTGCCTACCACACAGGGATGGTGCCTGCCAACTCACCTTCTGAAATGGCAAGAAGGAGGTGACCCTTGCTTGTCAGAACACGTTCTGTTCGATAACTAGATCCCATAATGTTCAGCTGCCAACAAGACAATCCGGTTACATCCAAGCTATAAACCTCCACAAGCTCATGGCAAGGCTCGATGTTCAAATGCCAGGAGCAGGGAGAGGGCTTCTCTGGCTCTGCGCTGCTTCTGTTGTGCTCAGCACTGATGCAGCCAAGCAGCAGCCTAAGGGACGATTTAGGGAAGTGATAGCATCCTTGGGCATGGGAACAAGCTGCCCAGGGCACTGGTGGGCTCATCATCCCTGGAAGGGGTGAAAACTGTGCAGAGGAGGCCCTCATTGCCATAGGTTAGTGGTGGACTTGGCAGTACCAGAATGGTTGGACTCAGTCTTGAAGGTCTTCTCCAACTGAGCTGATTCCATGACTGTGACTGACAGCCCCGTGGTGCTGCTATTGCTGGGAGTGAATGGAACAGCTTGGATAAAGCCTTGGAGAGGCAGAGCCACCGAAGCCAGCACACGTGAGACTGTGGTGCTAGCAATGGAAGCACTTCCTGCCTCTGTCAGTAAGATACTGCCTTAATGGACCCAACTTCTTTCTACAGGAGCACACGTGAGACTGTGGTGCTAGCAACGGAAGCACTTCCTGCCTCTGTCAGTAGAATACTGCCTTAATGGACCCAACTTCTTTCTACAGGACACTCTCCAGTCCCTTGGCCAGGCATTTCAAATGCAATGCAATAAAACACACAAGGCAATTGAGCTTTGAATGGTGAAAGCGGGCTCCCATATGCCCCTTTAAATGTCTTTGTCATGGTGGATTAAAACGTTTGGCAGAAAAAACCCCACACTTAAAACCACTTTCTGAGCACGCAGCCCCTTCTACAGAAAGGTTTCAAGCCCTTACAATGGCACCAGGACAGGTTCTGGTCATCTCCCTCAGAGGCACACACAACACCCAATGATTTATGGCGGGGTGCCCGAGGTGATGAGTTTGTGATGCACACGACAGAAGCTGCTGAGATACAACCCCCTCTGGCCTGGCAGCAGTACACTACACACCGGGCTGGGCAGTGCGGGCTTGCAAGAGGAGAACACTGCTGCAAAGCTTCTGTAGGGCTCTGAACCTAGAGCAGGCAGAAGCCAGGCCTCGTTCAGCAGGCTCTCATCTGAGGAGCACACATGCCACCAACCCATGGGGCAGTCTGCGTGTCTCAGAAGGATGTGTCTGAAACCTCTGGGCTGAAGACGTTTGGCTCTTTAACCTCAGTCCTGTTCCAACACCCTGTTCCAATCAGGAAAGAGGGGAAAACCCTTCAGTGGAAATGTCCTGTTTCACTTCTACAAAGGGGTGGTTTTATGGGAAGAAACCCAACCTCGGAAGGCTCACGGAGCCTTCTGCAGCAGTTCCCCATAACCCAAGGTTCATGAAAAACTCCAAGCCAGAGCCTGTAGCTTCGAGCATGCCCAGCCCAGCCCTCCTGTGGGCTCACGACTGACTGCCATGGTGCCACAGCCCTGCTCTCAAGGGGGAGAACCTTAAATGGGATCTACAAAGGGAACTAACGAGGCTCCCTCAGCATCAGTGATGGGATGGCACCCTTCCTCCCACAGCCACCTCAGCCCCGCCAGCTGGGGTGGGGTTTATGGACGCACACCATGTTACAAACAGTTGATCAGATGGTACCCCATTGTGGTGCCCTGGGGGGGAACAGTTCCAGGCAGGATGCACGTTCTTGTACCGTAGTGCAAGCGCTGAATGTGACTGTATAGGGAAGGTAGGGTATAACATAATGCTGCAGTCAAAACCAAAACTGCATGGAACTGCTTCCACTGGCAAAAAGAGTGAAGAAACCTCAATTACAGAGCAGCACATGAAGAAACCTCAATTACAGAGCAGCACACGAAGAAACCTCAATTACAGAGCAGCACATGAAGAAACCTCAATTACAGAGCAGCACATGAAGAAACCTCAGTTACAGAGCAGCACATGAAGAAACCTCAGTTACAGAGCAGCACATGAAGAAACCTCAGTTACAGAGCAGCACATGAAGAAACCTCAGTTACAGAGCAGCACATGAAGAAACCTCAGTTACAGAGCAGCACATGAAGAAACCTCAATTACAGAGCAGCACACGAAGAAACCTCAATTACAGAGCAGCACATGAAGAAACCTCAGTTACAGAGCAGCACATGAAGAAACCTCCATTACAGAGCAGCACATGAAGAAACCTCAGTTACAGAGCAGCACATGAAGAAACCTCCATTACAGAGCAGCACATGAAGAAACCTCAGTTACAGAGCAGCACATGAAGAAACCTCAGTTACAGAGCAGCACATGAAGAAACCTCAGTTACAGAGCAGCACATGGGAAGTGGCCCACATTGACTCGTGGCTCTGAATCCATCAGCAAAGCAGAAGGAAAAGCTCTTTTCTACCACATCGGTACACATATGGTGTTCATAAACCAAATCAGAAGTACCACTCAAGCCCTCCAGAGCTCTTAAACCCCAGTACACAGGGTTGAAGTGCCACAAGAGGCACTGGGACAGGCATTTCCCAATAGTTTCCATGCTCCACAGCTGGCAGATCCGTGTTTATGGGCACAGCTGGAGCAGGGCACCTCTCTGTGGAGCTCATTTAGGTCCAGTTGCACCAATCTGCCCCAAAGCCCAAGTCCCTCCTATTGAGCTAAACCTTTTATTTTACCCTATGTTATTTTTGGACACTACATCTTTTACTGGTGAGTCCTCATGCCTTTTACCTCACTGAGACTGACGCAGTCAAATTAAAGGGAAACAGAATCAATCCTCCTGGTTTTCCACCTGAAAATGTTCCAAGGAGAATATTCTGATTTTCAGATAATTTCAGATAAGAGCACCCAGTGGGTTAAATATATCAGAGGACATTGGTAAAGATTAGAGATGAGGAGGGGGAAAATATCCCAAATAACAAAATTAGGCACGATTTGGCGAGAAGAGGAATATTCAAAGCTGTGCCTAAAGAGTAGAGGACAGAGCATTCTGCTGATGGGCTGCAGAGTGCCTGGCCATTCACACAGTGTCCTTCCAAGTGCATTAATGGCCAATGACTCATATGCCCTTGACAATGCTGTCCCAGGTAAGGAAGTGCTGTGCTTAGTACAAAACTGCTCTGTACTTAGAATCTGGGGAGGAAAGAGCTGAGATATGCACAGCCAAAAGCACACATCTTATCCCAAGATAGCCAAAGTTTTTTGTTCAAAGACAACCTTCCTCATGGATATAGCAAGAGGCACACACTTTTAAATATACCAGTGAAAACATGGGTATTGGTTTAGATTTCAGATAGATGCACATGGAACTCATCCTTCTTTCGTTGTGTTGCCTTTCTCTAGTACCACTGTACTCACATATTTCCACTCTAACTGGTCTCAGCTGCCCAGATGAAAGCCAGTGAGCCCTGGAAATGACTGGTGAAGAATGACCTGAGGAGGCACACTTGGTTAGCCCTTTCTGCAAGTCACTTAGAGAACATTACATGGGACCGTGGAGGTTGGGATGTCTCAAGCAGCAGCAAAGAGGCTTGGCACAAAACAAGGACAAAGCGGGTTTACTGGTTCAGAACTGTGAGTTACTCATCCTAGCAAGAGACGGAAAACCTGCCTTCACTTGAGTTCTGGTTTTAACTTAAGCCTTCTCTTTCCAGCTTACCTGTGCTGGGTGGTTTTGATTCAATGGTGTGCATCACCAGGCTTTCCTTCCCTGGCAAAAACTACTGATCAAGAAACCTCATCTTTGGCTGCAAAACCACATCAGTAGCACACAGCTTCTCAATAATCTTTATAAAGCTAAGAGGGGTATTTACTTCAAAGAGTGCACCCACAACACCACTACAGATGTAGCAGGATGCCAGCATCAGAAGTATACATTATTCTCAATAAAATGCCTTTACCTGCTACTTAGCCCCATTGGAAATAACTTGTGGGGTTGGAAAGTGCTTTGCAGACTTTCACTTCAGCCTTCTCCCCTTCCCTGTAGGAATCAGCTAGGAAGGAGAAAGCTGAAGAGGTCTATGTGCCTGCTGATGTCCCCAGTCAAGGAACACAGTGGGGCTCTGCAGAGGTTCATGACTGGTTCTGGAACAGTGACCAGAAGGGGAGGCCAGGCTTTGCTTTCATTTCCAAGAGATTAAGAATAGCCAGTACAAACAGGAGCTAGTGCTGCAGCTCTCCTAGGAACCCTTGCAAGGGAAAGGCCATGCATCCTCTCTGAAAGTGCCAAGGATCCTGCTGGGACAACGCTGGTACTTCTGATTTTCAGCTACAGAGGGGTCCTGCTGATAGGATAATCCTGTGCTGGAACACTAAAGGCAGAGATGTGAGTACAGGTACCTCTGGTTAACCTCCAGCATCCCCCAGTGAGTTACCTGCTGGATCAAAGGCTTTCCAAAGCCAAGGCTGTATCCCAGTGCTTCACCTCTTCTCCAAAGGCTGTAAACTCCCTGCTTGCTCCTTTGTAAGCCAATTGTTCCCGCCTGCTGTGACTAGCCATGCATGCCCCACCACATGTTCAAACAATAGTCTTAGCAGAAGTTTGCTCTGGAGTCTTTATGATGGGGTAATGCCTGTTAATTGTTTTTCCAGTGGGTAATGGAATGCTTTCAGCCATGCTCAGCTGGTTCTTAGTTTGATTTGTGACCTCTGTTCCAGGATTGTCTCAGGGGAACAAAGGCATCACAGGAGAGGCAAAGGGAGCAGTATCTTCCAAATGGGTTGCCACAGAACAGACAAACCGTGATGCTTCACCGCACTCCCCATCTCTGTGCAGCTCTTGATCAACCTGCATGGACCACAGCCCCTGGAGGGTCTTGGTAATGCTCCATGGCAAGGGAGCTCAGCTGCAGCAGGGGCAGGGGACAGGGTTTCTGAGCCCTCAGTAAGGACACGAGGTGGGTTGGGGGAGAGGAGATGGGGAGGTGGGACGAGGCTAACAGGACACACTCAGGAACTTGGGACCCTGTCACAAGCTAAACTGGCCCTCCATTCGCTTGACGTCATCTCCTAGGTTTTGACACCGTGATAGCCCTGCTCTCATGGTTTGCTCTGCCTGTGTCACAGGAAACCCTGATGGATAAGGCTGATTTCAAGAGAGCTGCCTCTGCTGTGTGCCAGCTACCACCACTTGCTATCTGACTGTGCCAGGCACTGTCCATGTCTAACAAAGGAACCCAGCTGAATGGCTCATCCTCCAAACATGCTCCTGTTGACAAACCACCCTTTGCTGCTTCATTAGATCCCACAGTGCTGGATCTGACTGAGTTCTGGTGGCCTCCTGACTCATCACCTTCTGTAGTGGTTATGCCTTCTCCTTCCCTCCCAGATGGGTAATTCACACTTCTGCTGCAGCGAGTCTAGCATAAAGCACACACAACCCTTCAGGGCACGTGGAAACCTGCCTTTCAAAGGGGCTTTTATCTGGCAAAACCCAATATACTTCAGAGAAGTTCCAATTCTTTGAGGCTGTTTTAGCTCTTCCCAAAGAATTGTGACGTTTTTTGTCCCTGTACAAATATGACATCAAAGCACTTAATTTGGTGGCACACACAATTCACTCCAAGCCCCCTCTTCAACCGTGGATTACGGCATATCTCAACAGAAGGCTGCACTGATCATTTGTTTAATGCTTTTTCTAACTTCAGCTTCACTCTTAGAAGCATCACCTCCAACCCTAACTGTTCTATGAGTCTAAGTTGAACCGATTTATAACCCTGAGGGCTTTTGACCCTATAAACCATGAACCAGTTTAAGATAAAACAACCGGTCTGTCCTCCTCTTGGACATCTGCTAAAAGGAGAATATGCTTGCCATGAGCAATGCTCCTTCCCTGCAATTCCAGCTATTGGGATGCAGGCTTGGAGGGGAATCAAGTGCACAACCCTCACTACCGATACCCAAACCAGACCCCGCGTTACTTCAGCTCCTTGCTCTCTGTGAATATGCTGCTGAAGGGAAATCAAGTCTCGTGCCTCTCTATGAAGTCTGTATAGGAAGTCACAGTGCAATATTAATGCTGTTTCCCTCAACCGTGTGCAGTGGGCTTGGTGTTTGTAGGCTTGACAAAGAGGACATAAAGCTGCACATTTGCCTTCAACTCAACCCTTTCATAAAGGCTCCGAAATGTTCCAGAATAACCCCCTGACATGAAGGAAAACGGCCTCCTTGTTTCTAAGGAAGGGGAAGAAGCAGTTTTCCACAAGCGATCTGAAGCTCCCAACCGCTGACCTTTGTCAGTTCTTGCTCTTAGCTTTGGTGACGCTGCAATTGGTGTTGTATTTACAGGGAAATCAAAAGGCAACCTGAATCCTCCTGAATTGAGGTTTGTAAAGGGGAACGTGGGGATAGAAATTCTAACTCATCTGCTGAGGTTACACTATGTCCCTGTTATTGTGTCCAGAGAAAGCAGCGTGCCTCCCTGAGGGGAAAAGAACTGCAGGGAGTTGGAGTGAACAAAACGAGCTCCAAATCCACCCCTGAGCAATGTCTCATATGATTGGGAAAATGATCTTTCCCTGTCAACCGAGCATTCATCTGACGGTACACAAATTACTCACCTAAGTGCTTGTAAGAAGCATTTTTAACCACCATGATGCATTTAGTGTATATGGTAATATAAGACAAATACCAAGGACAAGTAGTGCTGGAGGGAGAGGTGCAGAATGAGCTCATTGCACACATAAAGGTGGTCCAAGTCTGAGAGCCCCAGCTTCATGTGCTATTTCTGTAGGGGGTTCAGAGGGTTCTCAAGCTGCTGCTTGGGAGTTTTGTCAAATACTGGCCCTGTTCCAGACGATCCGCACGATGAAGCCAAAACAAGAGCCAGGGAAACACAAGAACTCCTACAACAGCTCTAAGGGAGATGCTTTCAGATGCTTCCTGGTAAAAGCACTCAAGGCAGCACTACACCCAAGGATGCTGGCAGTGAAAACAGCGCTCCTGACCTCACCGCCTGGACAAGAGTGAGAGCCCAAAGGCACTGCACAGCCTGAACCGTACCTTGCCGACGCCGACTGTTGAGCTTCCTGAAGCAGGTGCCCTCCACAAGCCGGTTGAGACGCTGCTGCTTGATCAGTTCCAAGATCTCGGGCTGAATCTTCTCTTTGAGTTCCCTTGGGGAGAGAGAAAGCAGCCCCTTGTCAAAGGCAATCAGGAACCATCCTCCCTCCCTCCCTCCCTCCCTCTGAGCCAGTCTCACAACGTGGTTCTGCAAGGAGTCTGAAGGGAACAACGGCCACAGGCAGGCCCAGGTCAGAACCTAGTCTGTTCTATTAAAAACCCACCTTTTCTCATAAGAGAGAAGGGAGCCAGGCTCCATTACAGACACCTCACTGCTACGACATCCGTGTCTGACTCAGGCAAGTCACTTATTTGTTTCGTACTTTACTCATCTAAAAATAGCACTTGCTATAACGCACCAACAAGGTTTTTCTGCAGCAAATAATAGTCTTTCATCACAGGAGCACTGCAAAGCTTATGTGAGGGTCTGACACCTTTCGCTGCACAATCCTCTGCTGGCAGACTCCAGGAGCACTAGAAGCCTAAAACACATCTTGGAACAACAATAGAAACACTCAGCAAGGCCAGTGAGCTCAGGTAATGACCAGCGCTCTATGCCTGTTACTCAGTCCATGCCACCCAATTGATAACTTAACTGTTATCAGGGTTCTGTGGAAGAGTAACCCAGGAGCAGGGATCCCTCCAGGATCAAACTTTACCCTTGGCCAGGACTGCAGAAACCCACAGCATTTAGCAAGAATATTAGAGATCCTTTAGAAAAGCCATCTTCTACATCCTCCTTTGGTAAGAGTTCGGCGTGTCAAGAACTGGGCATAAAACGTATGTACATAACAGTTAAAGTCTGATTTCCTACAGCATCACCTGGATCCACAGATGCCTGAATCCATCAGTGATGGCCTCACTTGGGTTCATTAAGAATACATAAAAGACAGGTTTAAACACCAACTTGACAACTAGTAAGATTAAAAAATAACTGAATGTGTAGAGGATTTATAAAGCATGGAGTATGTCAGACCCATCGTTCTGCACTGCTGTGCAGATTAGGTAATACCCAAAATCCTTCTGTCTGGCAGTATATTCCAGCATCAAAAGGAAGCCAAGCCACGGTATCCCATAGAGACAACAAACCCGTCTCCCTTCTGGACAACTTAGGGAGCCCAATCTCTGCTGATTTCCACACTCATCTGGATCCTATACCTTTGATCTGCCAGACCCCCACTGAAACTACAGGAAGTCCTCTGCTACACAGATAAGGCCTTTCAACCCAAGTACCCTTTTCCTCCCATGTACTAACACAAGGGTTGGGTTTTGATGCATAACCTGCTGCATATTTACATGCTGTAAAAATCTAGCTGGTCAAAATTTCAGGAAGCACTGTCACTATAGAAACCAGCACCTTTCGAAATGTATTATTAGTCCTTTAGGATCATTTTCAAGCCTTGTCGTTCTCCCATTGGGAACCAGGACATGAAAATGCTGAATGGCTAAGTACTATGATTCAAAGAAATCTGTGCCTGAGTTAATGTCTTGCCTTTACCGAGCTGATGAGCTTCCTCATTCCTCAGGTAAAAGCTGGGAGCAGGAGCTGAGGATAACAGTGTCAAAGCACGGTGTGGATTACTCAGCAGTGCAGGCTGTATCTAACTCTCCAGCTGGACTGATTTCAAACACTCAACATCAGTTGGCTGTTTAGGTAGTTTGATTCAGAAATGGGATGGTTCTCGTTCAATAGGTGTTAAGGATATCATAACATCATGGTTCTCAGACACTACTGGCAAGACAAAAACGAATGGGTCACCCAGCACATTAACACCTGACTGCTCCCAGTATCCCCCCGTCTGTACTCTGATGCCCCATATGCTCTTTATAAACCAGAGCAAGAGAAGGCTTTTTAACCAACCCCAAAGCAAACAGGTAACCCTCCCTCAAGCATCTCACAGTCTAAGGCAGACTTCCCATAGGAGGAAGTGAGGTAAGAAAGAAGAGACGCCTTCCCCCTCTTTGCTGATGGGCTGGAGTCCCTCTACACACGCATGTATGTGTTCTCACGACCGTGACACCCAGAGGCAGCGCTCTCTTTTGGTTTACTGTCCCCAGACCTGGGCACACAGAGGTTGTGGAGACAACTGCAGGGAGAAACAGTCTGCAGTGGCTTTGGGCTTCAGTGGCACCACCTAAGCCCACCCATCCCTTACCATTGTCCCTTGCACCTCCTGTCTTTGCTGCCTTCAGCAGCCCATGCCATCACACAGCTACTCTGACTCCAAGGTTTTACAGCTGTTCTTCAGCCACCACGACTCCGGGTGCATCTCTGCAAGGTGCTCCTGCCTCTTCCTGCTCCTCACCCTTACGGTTTCTGGTCCACCACCTCAAGGGGATGGAAATGGGGCAGAACAATCAAAGCGCAGCCCGCAGGGAAACAAAAGAAGCGCTGCTCTGCATCCTCATGGTTCCTTCAGAAAGCCTTCTGAGTGCAAGGGAGTTCTGATCCGCAGAGGCTGAAGGCAGGGGTTATTAAACACCATGAAAGTCCCTGCACAAGCAGGTCCTTCTGCCTCATTTTTAACCCAAACAGGCACAATGAGCTAAAGGAAGATCAGCAATGCAAATATGTTCTGTGAAGCTTTAATTCCCTGTCCTTCAGCCGACAGTGGCTCAACAGTTTGCACCTTGCAAACAGAGAGGACAAACTCAGAAGGCTTGAGGAGAGAGTGACTTTACGAATTGCTGTTAGTTTTCAACCGGGTTCCTGGCACCTAACAATGGCAGAAGTCAGTGGGCTGGTGAGGCACAAGGGTTGAGAAACCCACACAGTAATGTACATGACCACTGCTCTCCTGGTCTTGCTGCTCTTGGCACTGTAGGTAACACTGACAGCAGCTACTTACTTCTAACATAATAGATCTGAATTGTTGGTATATCTGGAAATCAGGAGTAATTATTTATATTACCCAAAAGGATGCTAGCCCTTCTGCAGCCCAGTTATACCTGTCCCCAGCTATGCCTTAAGACTCTTGTTAGCTGTTTTCCTTCCATTATGGGCCATATTACAGCCATTTAAATCATTACAACACAACAGAAAAGTAATCCCAGAACTGGTTTGTGGCTATGCCCTCTCCTAATCACCTCATGCACTCAGAGCGGGCATTAGGGACTCTTTCTGTAAGGTAAAACTGAAAAGCATTCAAGTCCCTCCATTGCCCTGTATGCTGATGATTTTCACACAGAGGTTTAGTCAGCAATGACTCCCTGGCTGATATTAGCTCCCCTTTAACCAGCAAACCTCCTCTTGGATGTCAGTCAGACCTTCATCCACTATTAACCCATCTCTGCTGCCATTGAACCTATCAAGGAGATGTGTGGTCCTCTAGAGGCCCACAGGATTCCTGGCCACCCTGTTCTATTCAAAATGAGACAGCGATCCTTTATCCTTTTGTTGTGGGACGGCAGCCTGGATGATCAATAACGACCCCACAATCTCAAACTGGTTCTGTTCTCAAGGACTTTTTGTTTCCCCTGATGGAGAACAGAAAGGGAGAGAACTTCCTCACGCAGGATCCAACAATGCTCGCATAAAAGAAACAGCTAATCCCTGCAAAACAAGGGTGTCCTCGTTCCAAGGATCTAAGGCAGCACTTCACAGCTTACATTCAAATTGAACCTGACTCAAGCTTCTCTCATCCAGCAGCCTCCTGACAACTTTATATTCAATGCTCCACACAACGAGCAGCAGAAGAAAAAGCTCTACCATGTTCAAGGCAGGAAAAGCATCATCTGATTGCCATGTTCTCACGCAGAATTAAACAAGGCCTGCAGACTTTGCATTCACCCTTGTGTGCAATCTCTTTTAGGCTATCTGCAAGGCTCTAAGATACACAGCAGAGCCATGATTGCTCTCTTCACTCGCAGTTTCTTCCCCTACAATGAGGCCATGATTCTGCACGCCCATCAATTGTGCCATCTATGCAGTCTGAGAGAGTTCAGTACAGGGAATCAAATTGCAGGGGAAAATGAAAGAACCATTTCTTTTCACAGTTAAGAATAAGTGATCATGGGTGCAATCAAAATGCAAATGCATAGAGTCAGATCTCTGCAAAGGCAGTTGTGACTGCTTAAACACCTTATCGATTTACTTAGCCTTCACAGCCTTTAGGCTTAGCCTTTAGTCCTGAATCTGGAATGGGCCTCTGGGAACACTTCCCTTGCTTGTAACTAGTTGTGTTGGCTGCTCCACTCATTCCGTGATGGGGAAGGAGGCTGCACTGTGGCAGCAACCAGCCAGAGTGACACTGGAAATAAGGAGCTTGCAGAGGGCAGGTTTCACAAGGCTGGCTGATGATGCACGAGAACAGATTTGACCTCATCATACTTAAACAGTAGACTCATAAGGAAAGCAGGAAAAATGGGAAGCTTTGGTGACAAGCTCAGCAGTACTGAGCAGCTTTGAACCACTAAACACTGCAGGGGATTTCTGAGCAGGGTAATGGTGCAGAACTCACTGGAGCCATTTGTAGCTATGTGATGGATGCATTGCTGTGAATGACATCGGTTTTAATTGGGCATTAGGTCCTATCTTCTAACGCACTGAAAACATAAAAGAGGGACTTCCCTTTGATCCACACTGGTATGATCAAAATTCAAGTGTATAATTGCACTTAGATCAGGCTTCTGCTGTTGCCCTGCTGGCCCCGGAGGAATGTGTCCCCAGAGCTTGCACTTTGATAACTGTACCCTTCAGGAACAAACCATAGATCACTTTGGGTTGGAAAGGACCTGAAGCTCATCCAGTTCCAACCCCCTGCCATGGGCAGGGATGCCTCACACTAAACCATCAACAGTGTTGAATGCCCAAATCCGCATGCTGCTTCTGCATCCTGAGATGTTCTGCTCCAAACCCTTCTCTACACATTTGCCTGGAAAAGGAGATTTGGAAGGTCACGAGCCATTCCCCTTGAAGCATGGTCAGGATTGCAGGGGACGGCTCTGAAGTCCTCATCGTTTCTCTGCTGAGCTCAAAGGGTTCCTGCTGTTCTCTGCACATCATCTGTGTACCGCAGCGCCTGCCACTGTCCTGTGTCATCAGCTCAGTCACAAGCCCAGACCTGTGACAGAGCCAAGCGCAGCCTCTCATTTGTCATACAACAGAACAAAGGACATCCTGAGAAATGGGAAGGAGTTGTGGTGGTGACACTGTCATTTGATGCCCTGCAGTAAACCACAAGGGAAGGAGCATCTCACTGGCTAGCTGCCGGAATGTTATCATTTACAAGTAACTCACTCCCTGTCAATGACACCAAAGATGATACCATAAGCACGGTCATACACAGCACCACCTTCCTGTGGAGCCAGTGTGCATTGCCTCCTCTTCACCTGGGTTTCTCCCCATCTCACTCAGAGAAGTGACAACTGGAATGCTTAAACATGGACACAAGACAAAGCTCTGGTGGCTTTGGGTCTTCAAGTTTGAAGCCATTTCCAACACTGCACCCGGGCTCACAACCATGCAGAGCCAGGAAACCTTCATACGAATAAGCCTTGGGAGACCCTGCAGGGGATTTGCTGGCGCTGGCTTCACTGAACTCAAAGTCCCGATAGCCAGCAGAAGAGCAGATAGCAGGCTGCAAGCAGATGCTGCACTACTGCTTTGGAGCACAGCTCCCTGGGCAGCTCCTCGTGTGTCCCCCCAGGAGAGCTCACAGATGCCATCCCCACTGGCTAACCCATACAAAAAGGGGTGAGGAAGGAAGGCAACACTTACAGAATGGGACGAGACTGGAAATCTTCCTGGTTCATTCTTTCAGACTGGCGTATTTTCAGTATTTCTGTGTAGCTGAGGTTCTGAAGCTTGCTCTTGAACTGATCCAGAGAGCTAGGCTTGGTAGTGAGTGCTCTCATTATCTGTTCTTTCACCACCTGCATTACCTGTGGTGGACAGGGGAAAGGAAAGCCGTGTTAACGCTTGCTGTGTTCCTGTTTCAAACCTGAACGTGGGTCCCAGGAGGTTTCTGGGTACGGATGATCAGTACTGTGTGGTCTCAGGAGCAGAACCACAAAATGAGCCCACTTGGGTCAGGGCGTCACGGCCTACACAAGAACTCATCTGCCCTGTAACAAGGCAATCATGGTCTGTGCACAGAGCATCACTTACTGCTTGGCTGTCTCCCCGAACAGCGACATCGCAGCTCCTGGTTACGGCGCTGTAAGTCCCACTCTGCCTGTGCTTTGTGTGCCCATGGTGCAGCAGCGGGGCTCTACTGCACCTGGTGCTCAGATGGGGCTCTCACCATAGCGGGGCAGGCACGCATCACACTCCAAGCAGCAGGGAAGAGGTGCGGAGTCCTCAGGGGATGGACATCCTGAGTCCTGCCAGCTCACTGCACACAGACCCACAACAGAGACTGCAGAGAGCCTGTCGGGCCTTACAGCACACAGACCCACAGCAGAGACTGCAGAGAGCCTGTCGGGTCTTACAGCACACAGACCCACAGCAGAGACTGCAGAGAGCCTGTCGGGTCTCACAGCACACAGACCCACAGCAGAGACTGCAGAGAGCCTGTCGGGCCTTACAGCACACAGACCCACAGCAGAGACTGCAGAGAGCCTGTCGGGTCTCACAGCACACAGACCCACAGCAGAGACTGCAGAGAGCCTGTCGGGTCTTACAGCTCTTCTGCTGGCTCTGAGAGCTGCAACCCTGACCAGCAGGCAGCAGCACACAGCTGGGAACTGTGGGCCACTGCTGCCCCTGTTCCTTATGCCCAGAGGTGATGGACACACGCTGGAAGCCAGGGGGCTCCCCCTGAGCATCAGGAAGCATTTTCTTACTGTGAGGGTGCCCTGTCCAGGGAGGCTGTGGAGTCTCCATCCTTGGAGAGATGCAAACCCCATCTGGTCCTGCTGTAGGTGATGCTGCTTGAGCAGGGGGCTGGACCAGGTGACCTCCAGTGATCCCTTCCAACCTCAGCCACGCTGGTGCTGCGAGAGCCTTACACTGCAGACACGGGGCCATACACAGCAAAGGACAGGGAACTTGCTCAGAGACCATCCGTTGGGCAAGGGAGGGAGAAACATCCGTTTGCCAAGGATATTGCAGGACTGCTTTTGAAACAACGCCATACACAATTCAAACCAGAAAATGAGCATGATGAGCAGCTCGGCAACAGCCATCTATCTGCATATTAATTATTCCATCAGGAGAAAATTGCTGAGACACAGTTAACTAAGGGGGACTGCTTGGCTCTGGTTCGGCTCAATACATACCGCAGATTGATGCTTGCCTCTCTGCAATCCCAGCCTCATCTCCTTGCTGCTGGTGCAAATCACACACTTGGAAACGTTTATATGATACTGAGCTTAAGCTGGCTGAAACACCCCATTTATCAGCCTCAGAAAGGCACATCCCACCCCAATCCAGCAGCTAAAGACCAGCAGGAAAGGGTAACACCCCCCTGCTAGCAAAGCGGGTGTGAGGGAAATTAACAGCTACACAGAGGGCAAGAGCTTCTTCTGAACTGCTCATTTTCCTGTATTCTCCCATTTTCACCAGTACCTTAGAACAGAGGCTCAGCCCCGCAGAGGCTCCCTGAACGCTCTGAGAAGTTCTCTTCTCACATGAGTATTTCATTGCTTCATATGTGCTGTCTTCCAGCTCACCGCCTGCACTGGGTCTCCTGTTGCTGCTTCCCCAGAGGTAGCTCCTCGCTCAGATGCGATCTAAGCACGCAGCTTAGCTCTGTCCACCAGATGAAACCAAGCAATTCAAGAACTGAAGATACCCCCCTCCGTACTACAGGGGCTACCTCCGTCCTGACTTCAAGGGAAGCGGGATGCTTCTCCTTCTCCTGCAGGAACTGGCTCAGGGGGCAGCAAATGCCTCTGACACACTTCTACCCCCTCAGTCACAGAACCCCAGACTGGTTTGGGTTGGAAGGGACCTTAAAGCTCCTCCAGCTCCAACCTGTGCCACGGGCAGGGACCCCTTCCACTGGAGCAGCTTGCTCCAAGCCCCTGTGTCCAACCTGGCCTTGAGCACTGCCAGGGATGGGGCAGCCACAGCTTCTCTGGGCACCCTGTGCCAGCGCCTCAGCACCCTCACAGGGAAGAGCTTCTGCCTAAGAGCTCAGCTCAGTCTCCCCTCGGGCAGGTTCAAGCCATTCCCCTTGCCCTGGCCCTACAGGCCCTTGTCCCAAGCCCCTCTCCAGTTTCCCTGCAGCCCCTTCAGACACCTACAGCACACCCCACATCCTCTTGATTTCACACACGGAACAGTCTGGGTTTAGACGGTGGCCACGTGCAGCTGAATCCATCCAAAAGAGTTGCTTCACTGGGAATCTGCTACTTCCCCATCAGAAACCAGCTCCTGGGCTGCATCCCGAGTGCGCTCACCAGTCCAACTGAGAAACACTGCGGGAACAACAGAAACACCCAACACCTCAGTGTTCAATGGACGGTGCCCAACAAGGCGAGTGCCACACTCCTCCTGATTCCATTGGAAATATCATTGCCATGCAATGCAAAACCTCCTCCCGATTCCATTGCAAACCAGTGGCACCCAGAAGGGCTTAGGAAATGCAGTGAAGGGAACATCCTCAAAGAAACAGGGGGATAAAGTGAAGCAGAGGATCCCAGGGACAAGCTGGATGCTTAAAATTATCTTGTGCCTTCCTGCCCCTGCCTTCCTGACAATGACTGCTCACTGCTGCTGCTGCTGCATTCTGAGTTATGGCTTGTATGCTTATGCATTGCTAATTAGGACTAATTCTTATTAACTGTCAGGAATGGAGAAGAGGGGAGGGACTGGCAACTCACCCTGCTCATTGGCAATGCATTCAGCTCTTGGTACCTCCTGTCTGGGCTCACAGAGAAGGTGACGTTGGGCCCATGGCTTCCCTTCTGCTTTCTCAGGCCTGCTGAGAAGTGCTACCTGTACTTTGGTACACACGGCCCTACAGCCAAGCTACAGTCATCATTCCTGCAGGATCAGGCAAAAGAAGCGTACAAAACCAGGTAGCTTAATTCAAATATGAAAGCCCCATCACCGCTCGTGCCATCAAATTCCCTGGCCATCAGGAATCAACAAATGACTGCAATTCCAAGCAGACAGACATAGTATTACTGCTGAACTAAGCACACAACACTCCTATGGTAACCACCACTACAATATCACCTTGATCTCTTCATCACTGCACCAGATGTGCAAGCCAATAAGAGTCCTGCAATTGCTCATGCATTCATTCAAATGGGTTCCATGCATCCATTCAAGTACCTGTACAGACCTGGTTTTTTGCTGTTTACGTACAGACTTAGTTGCTTCAATTCCAGGCACTCACACTGGGGAAACTGTCTCTATGACTAGGTTTTCCCATAAAATAAATGAATAAATCCTGTATTTCAGGGAGCTGCATGTATGTGGACCTCCTTTGCAGTCTGATCTCTGAACCAGCCATAGGAAGCAGCATTCACTCTTGGCTAAGCAATGCAAAGGAGGCTCAAGCTCAGTAGACTTCGGGTGCTATCACTTATGCTTAGATGCAAAATCCTGTATAAACCCTTGTCTTCCTTCTCTGGTACTCAGTGATGCAGTTAACACATGAGCAAGGAAGAGGCATCTGCATTGTCAGGATCTGGAAGGTTATTCACAGGCCATCATCAAAGACCTCCTTGGCTTAGAGACTCCCCTTGCTCCTGAGAGAGAAGGCAGAAAGTGCATCTCCCCCAGAAGGGGGTGATCACACCATAGAATCATAGCATCATAGAATAGTTAGGGTTGGAAAGGACCTTCAGATCATCCAGTTCCAACCCCCCTGCCATGGGCAGGGACACCTCGCTCTAAACCATCTCACCCAAGGCCTCGTCCAGCCTGGCCTTGAACACTGCAGGGATGGAGCATTCACAGCCTCCCTGCACAACCCATCCCTTGCCCTGTAATGTTTCAAGCCGACCCTGTTTAACTGTCTGGCCAAAATGTCAGGGCTGCTGATTGCACTGAGTCTCCTGAGCTCGTAGGGATCGCTGCCAAGAACTTCTCATCTGTTTAATGGCCAAAGTTGCGTTGCCAGCCTGTGATTACGGCCGCCCCAGAGACAGCATCAACCCTTCCTCCCCATGCGGCTGACCTTACAATGAAATTCAACGTATTCCCTACTCCATGTAATTGCACATAAACGCTGTAGACAGTTGTTTTAATTACATTATGCTTTGCTACTCTTACTGACAAAGGAATGCTTCCGAGGGCACGTTTGCTTTAAATCGTGCCCTTTGCATGTGATGACCTCTCGTGCAGTGAGAGAATCCCAAGTTCTGCATTATGACTAAGTTAAATACACCAAAAACATGAGGAAAAAGACAGTAGGAAAAAAGGACTACTTCTTTTTCATTTAATCACTTAGGACTTTATTCCCTGTATTCTGCATCCATCTAATGTGTCTTGTTTTCTATGCTCAGCATCACCATAAGATCAAATTATGTATCTTGTTAAGCTGTTTTAGTCTAGCTTTGTGACCTAGCTCATTTGACCTCATCTCTCCCCTCTTTTAGCCTTGCTCCTCTGTCTTCCCATGTCAACTTTCACCTATGCAAATGGTCTCTTCCTTTTGGGATGGAGCAAAGGACACCAAAACACCCGGGCTCTACAACAAGGGGACAACATGAAGGAAGAGAAGTTGTCAGTGTCAGAAAGGAGTTTACTGGGGTCAAACTTCACAGCACCCTTCCCACTGACTGCACCCCAGCAGCTTGTTTGTAACTATGGGAAGCACAAAGCAACGCCTGTCTTTGGCACTGACTGAAGGAGACAGGCTGCCAGCTCAGACACCTACCACTGCCTGCGAGCTCCTGGACATGCAACGTTCACAACCACCCATCAGTGGAGCACCAGGCAGGAGATGAGCCCTTCCCATCATTCCCCCACAGCACCAGTGCTC